CTTTGTTGTAGATGTACAATGGAGGGCAAGACTGCTTTTTCAGCGTAAAAGTACACTGAGTGCATTTTTCTTCGTTCCTACGAAACCTAATAAAATGTAATAAGCAAAATGAAGTATACTCCACTAAAGCTCTCCGTGACCATTTCATTTGTCGCCGAGAATCAAATAGATTAAACGACATTTGATAAATGGCAAAAAGGAGTGAAAATACGAAAGGTGGGGTCGAAATGGGAAGTTAGTGTCCGAGTGGTTCGAAGTCACGACTGCTCAAGTGGTACAGCAGCGGCCTATTTAGCCGAAGGTCGTGGGTTCGAATCCCGCTTGTGACACTGACTTTTTTATCTCAACCAAAACCTTAATAAATTGAAAAGAATTTATTTGGTCAAGCGGACCACGAAACCTAATGAAAAATTTATCAAGAAGTTGATATAGAACTGTAGGAAGCGGGGTCAAATCAGTAGGGGGTAGTAAAGTCGTTATGGATAGTAAAGAGGTTTGACAATTTGTCTGACCACATTAAAAAAAAAAAAAAAAACGATTTGAAGCACTTGATATTCCATGGCTAAGAAACTGAACATTCCACTCATGACCAAAGTTGTCTCAGCGATATCTTGTATGGTAACGGTATAATCTTGAAATGTTCGTAGTTTTCGACTCTTATGGATACCACGTCAGTATACTGTCAATGAATCCTCAAGAATCTCACATGATTGGTAGTTCTTTATTAATAGTGTACAGCTAAGTGCAATATTTTTTCTAATGCTTCTGTGTACATTCATTTTTTTCAGTCTTACACTCCACGGTTTGCATGAATCCTTGATAAATTCAAGGTTGCACGTTCGGTTAAAAAGCAAAATTTCAGTTTATTCCGTGTGAAAAGCAATGGTATTATTAGGTTTCAGAGGAAAGAAAGCAGCATAAATAGTACAGAGGAAGGGGACTAACAATGATCCCATGTGAAACGCTTATTAGTCTGAGTATTCGTTATATCATTCCAGAATTAAGTAATAAGTGGTCCATAGGACGTATTTAAGTTGATAAAGAATAACTTGATTTTCAATAGTTTGCTTCTAGGTATAGTTCCGAGTAATTTACGTGGAAGTATGTACCATATTGTTGTTGATGTACACCAGTAAAAGAGGTTGATTTTTTACCGTGAAGTTGTACACTATGTACGTTGATCCTAACTTAGTGCACTTTTTATACTAAGGTGTTCTTTGAGGAGGTTCGGTAAGTCAGTAGTATAAATGGGTCTAGGAATTTTCCTCCTGAACCATGCCAGCTTGAATTGATCTAGTTTCTTAAAAGCGGCAAATGCAAACTGAAACAGGATTCTAGGTAAACGTAGAAAGCGTTTTTAGAAAAACCATAACTGCCAGGACATCACATCTAATCACATCCAGGCATGCACCCAGGCAATGATGTTTGTATGTTTGACCGAAGAAATGGTATCAACCAATCCGAAACATTGTGGGGTCAAGGGGAGGATTGATAGGGATGGAATCTGAATTGGAGACAAAGTGGAATTTTATGTGAATCGAGTTAAAAATAAATAACTATATTTTATTCCATTTGTATGAAATCTCTTCTAAAGCACGCTAATTATAATTGAAATAAATTTATTACAGTTAAACTAAGTTACTTTATCAAGAAAAACATTTGGGAGATAATTATTCTACCCTAACATTTGATTAATATATAACTTTTTATTCCGTTGTTCAACTTATTTTCGTTGGTTTATGTTTAGAAACAGCATTGCTGTTGCCATAAGTGCTGTTTCATAATCCAACAATGAGCAATTTAGATTTTCAATTCCCAGTTGTTCTATTTATCAGTATAAAATCGGTGAATTTTCCAATTCCTTTCTAACACTGTCGCGCCGTGACTTCATAATTATTTCTCGTGAGGCCGGCATCAAAAATTCACGATGAAATGTAAACACATCCGCTGGGTTGAATACAACTCGAGCACGGTCTCGGTGGGGGATGATAACGAATTTACAACTGAGGAAATGAAGGACAATGCTCCCCGACAAAAGAGCCTATTTAAGATCCCGGCTGAAAGAGAACAGATCGTTTTTCATATATTTTTTTTCTTCTGCGCATAACAAATTCACGCAAGGCCCCACTTAGATTCTGAGTAGAAATGCAATTTGTCGAATTAGCAAAAGAGCGGGTTTCTATAAATCAAGAAACTTCATTAGCACGCCCCAATTTAGTTGAAATGGCCTGGTGATGCTTCTCTTTGCAGTTATTGTCACGACGGAGCAATAACATTAACCGCCGCCGGTGCGGGAATCATGCCAAATTCCTTTATGCTCACATCCTCGGGAGCAAGCAGCTGGAAAATGGATTTCGAATATAACTCCAACGGGATAACAATCCGGTCATACGTCAATTACTAAAACCGGTGGAACAATTAGCATACCGGTTACTAAAATTCGATTTTCCCTTGCACCAGTACGAGAAATCATGGCTAAATATTCCACCAAATCGCGTGAATTTTGTTTACAAACCTTTAATCCAAATCAAAAATCAAAAAATTCATCGGGGTCAATTCCCAAAAAATTGAAATTAAATTTAACCCCAAAATTCGTCCTTGTTAAATTAAATAAAAAGAACTGTTCAACTATCTTACAACCTAAATACCATAAAACTATATAAAATAATAAATTAAATAATTATACACTCAAAGAGATACAAAATGTTTTTGCCAATATTTGCGCGCAATCTATTTGCCTGATAATTGTTTTCAGTAGATTAGGATAAATTTGATTTTGATGCATGTTGGGATTTTATTGATTAAAAACAAAATACTATGAACAAAAAAATTTAAAAAAATAAAGTACGGTATACTTAAAAATACTCATAAAGACCAAACAACTCCAATTAAATTTTACCCAAGGGTTATAAACTGAAGATCATGGTATTAAATAAAGAAGAGAACAATTTATTAAATAAAGGTTTAAAATTTGTTCCATAAACGGACGTAGATAAAACGGAGCTACTTTCCCTTGGTCCATCGGGTGATTGTAGTAAAATAAATGCAAATATAAAATATAAATGTACTGAAGTAATTAAACCAAACTTTATAAATCTAAACGTCAATTTAAATATCCAACGTACAATTAGATCTATTGATACATAATAATGTAATAAAAAATAGTTTTGTTTTATGTCTCATAAAAATAATATAGTTTTCATTGATGACCAAACATTATCTAGAGTTGAAGAATTCCGAAATAATCACAATTGCACAGAAATAAAAAAAGATTGTACCTTTATATTAAAATTGGAGTTCAGCAGCCTAGAGTTTTATAAAAAAATACTAACTTTATATTTTCAAATGACAAATACGCGGTTAAACATCATATCAACCAGAATGCGAAATAATACAAGTAAAATTTCAATAAACCTAATTCTAAAAAAATTAAAATATTATTGATGTTACAGATGGAATGTTGATCAGGATAATTACATAATTAATAACGTCAGGGTTAGCGTTGTTGTCTTAAATCAGGGTTAAAAGTGTTTTTATTATGTAAGACGTTACTGGAATACAAAAAATAGTCAAAACCTCTATTACCTCATACGATTTCTTTTGAATCTGGCAGGTATCACAATTTTTCGGTTGGGTGAAAGCATGACCATGGATTGGATAATTTGCAAGCTGTGAGCTCAGATAGTCTACCCAGAATTTGTTTTAAAAGATTCCTGACCCTCGATTTCTCTTCCTCAAACCTAATCCCAGTGTAATTGGAATACAGATAAGACGCCTGTTTTGATGCAGAGGCAGTCATCTCATCCTTGGGACCAGAACTACAACTAGGTGCGCCGGAGTGCATGCTTAATTGGAACCTAGAAATATGGCTTGAGAAAGAAAAATTGTAAAAACCACCAGGTCTAAGGCAAGCTAAGATATTTATAAATTTCCCAAAAAGGAAGGCGAAGGAATTCCTCTTTTTCAGGCAGGATTTGAAAAAAATTATAATCCTCTACAGGGCACTGCCCTCTTATCTACGAGTTAAAGATGGGTAAGCAGAGATAAAAACGTGCCGACACTGTCTGGAAGTATCGTAGATATTAGCAGAAATCCTTTGTGAAGGTGAAGCAAAAGCTCGGATACTGTACAGTCACTTCAAGGTAACTATCACACCAAAAGAGCTCGAAAAGGCACCGAGGAAGGGTATGGCTAAAATTTATAGGGGTTCCATAAAAGATCCATATAGGTCGCGGTGGAGGAAAAGATTATTAAATTCCTTATTTCAGCCCCTCCTCCAAACTTAAAAAAATCATAGAAAGCCTAGGTAATGAAAATGAATTCACAATTTAGTTAATCTTACCTTATACAAAAAAAAAAGAAAAGGATCGCTTAAAATAAATCGATAATAATAGTAAATAGACAGAAGGATCATTATTGGAACATTTCCTACTATTTGGGTTATCAAAAATCTTTTTTCCAGACATGTACTAGCAATAAATAAGTATAGCTTTAAGTTGATTTTCCAAGCAGATATACCAGATTGATAGAAATTCGTTTTGCTCCCTTTGCCGTTTATCCGAAAAGGAAGACCTTTTGCATATCTTCTTTTATTGCCCAATTTATGAACCTTTTCGTCCCGCTTACTTGGATTATTTTGTGAGGGGGAAAATCCAATTCAACAAGTTTGCCGAGCTGGTAAATAAACATTGAGCTAAGTTTATTTCACAAGCACACAAGTATGTTCATTTAAGCTGAGTGGACTATATATTGATTTGATATATCTTACCTTAACATATATATATATANATAATGTTATATAATTATAAAATAATAGTATAAGTTTCAGCTATTATTTGTACTTAAAAATTAATTATTTTAAAATACATGTTTTTAGGTAGTAAGAGGTTTTGTAGGTATAATTTTGTTTTAGATAGTAATATTGGTTACCACACAAGGAAAAAAAAAATAAGATGGACATTTTATGAATCTATGTAAATTTTAAGATATTATTATGTTACCTTGAAAATATTATAGTAAAGGAAGACCATGATGATACAAGGTATGTAGAAAGATGACAGCGATGAGTAGATGATGAAATCTGAATTGTAAAATAGGCAGAGATCAGGCACTCGATCGGGCGTATTGTTAAGCCCCATGACGATCGGGCTGCCTATGGCGCAGCTGATCGCCCAGACGAGTACTATCGTTAGCCAAACCCTCCGATTATTCTTGTGCTTGGCGTATTTTATCGGCTGGGTGACGGCAATGTACCTGAAACAAAATGAAATCGCCAATTAAAAGGCGATCAATCGTAAAATCCAGTTTCGAAGGAAAAAATGCCCTAAAAATCGGGTAAATGGAATAGATGGTGTCGAAATAAAGTTAACCGGGGTGAGAAGAGCGGAGTTCACTTAGGAAAAATCAACATAGAGTAATAATTCCTTAAATTCACTAATTTCGTGGTCCGCTTGACCAATTAATACGTTACAATTAATTAAGGTTAAGCCGAAGATCGTGGGTTCGAATACCGCTCGTGCCATTGACTTTTTTATCTCAACTAAAAAAACCTTAATTAATTGTAATACAATAATAAGATGACGTGAATGAAAAATGGGCCAAAAAAAATTTATATAAAAATATTGACAGTAGTTTCAAAGAGATGTTTGAACTGCTTGATTCGACGATTTCAACCCTTGACTTGGAACGGGGTAAATTTCAATCAGTAGGCCAATTTATGTGATGCCCTGTTGTGGCAATGTCCGAAAGTTTACAAGGGACCAATTTGTTATTCGCTCCCCTTTTGGCCAATCCATCTTGATTTGCGTCAAACTACCGACATTCCACGTTCTCAGCCAAAGTGGTAATGGAAAGCCCAAACGGGATTCTCACGATTAGCAAGGGGCTGGTTTCTCATTAATAATACAACAACTATTTTACTTTTCACCCCTAACAGTCATTTAAGCTACCAAGAATAGCTAGATTTACTATTTTAAAAATCAATTGTTTTATATCTCTGAATTCGTTTACCATCGACCAACTTAGATTAAAGTTGAGTGTAAAGGTAATAATACTTATATAGATCCATATTTAATGTGAAAATTGCAAAATCAATGTGAAATTAAGGTGGATTAATTATCACAATTTATTTAAATGTTAATTATTATAAAAACAGATGAATATTAAATAACGACTGAAAATTACACATATAACATTACACAGATTGTGCTGCATATACAGTGGAATTCGCAGCTGGATACAACGATATTCTGGTCTTACGTCTACGAAAAATGGTTATGGTAGGTTTTCTATCTCCTATTCTCATATAACGCTGCCGGTTACATGGATAATTTAGAAATAGCGGTCCATTTTGAAAGAAATTCTGAGAATTCCTCCCATTAAATTTTCTGTTATTCACTAATTGCCAACGATCTCCCGTCTATATATTGATATTTTTCCGGGTTTAAATTATTATGATATAACGCAATCAATCAGGCTTTACTATTTATAAATCTAAAGGTTTGAAGTGTTTTTCTTGTTCGTGGGATCGGTAGTAAATTTTAGTTCGTGCTAGAAGCAACACGTGGTTGCAACAGGAACCCGAATGCTTAAATGACCAGCCGAGCTGAAATTACTCTGGGTGGCTTTTCATTTTAATTTGACCGTCGGTTCTTTGAAAACCTTTAGCGTTAAACAATATTAAGGCTTCAGTGAGTTTATTATTGCAATTAGTCTGTGGCTAAGTTTAACATTGTTTATACTAACGGTTTACTAAATAGTTTAATTTAGATTAACCTTAAGACAATAAAAACCACACTTTTATCAGTTTCAAATAAAACTAAGAAATGTTTACTCGTAACAGATTTGTTAGTCTTTTCTTTAACTGGTTGCACATAAATTAATGTATTAATTTAATAAATACGATGTTTTACACAAGGAAAAACTTACAATAATTAAAAATACCTGAAAATACGATTTTGTCTACTTTCCCCATACATATTTCGTTTTTCATCTCGTTTACCCTTTTTAACCCCTGGGCTTTCATTTGCTATCTATTTGTGTCCAGCATATCCCCTTCTCCAAGCTGAATAAAACGGTTCTTCTAGACCTGACCTGATAATATTACACCTTTCAAATTTATCAATAGCCCCGTTCTCAATACACTTCGAGTTTCCTTATTTTTCATCCAAAACCGGACTTAAAGAAAATATGTTATATAAATATGTTATCTCCGTTTTTTTATTTGATCAATATTATAAATGTTTTAAAAGAAGTGCAAATTGATGACTTTTTCGTTATAACAAATACAGTGTGGAGCTGGCCCGAAGAGAGAAGGAGTGAGGAAGAAACAAGCAGAGAGGGGAAGGAAAAGAGGGTTATGAACAGTACCGGGTGAAGACAGGACTTTTTTGGGGGGGAAGCTGATTATCTGCACTTAATCAGACATCCTTGGCCTCAAGATCATAAAGAGGACTCGTTTCACAATCGGAGACTAATATTCAAGAATAGCATTTCCTCGAGCTCGAAACCAGTTTTCTTCTCTCCACAGGATCAGCATAGCGAGGCAAGAATTATCAACTTACATACAATTAAACAATACAATTATCAACCATCAACTTTAATTAGTAATCTTCCTTAATTAACTTAATATGAAATATTCAAAAGGATTTTGTTTATAGTATAGCAAGCACATATGTACATAGTTTTCTGAAATTTTCTCATTGCACATGTACTTTTGTATGTTAAGTTTTTGTTTGTTTTAAAAAAAGGAATTCAAAGAATCTTGTCATTCTTATAGAATACATTATACCATTTCTCAAGTACAAGGAAAGATTTTTTTAATTAAAATATAACTCAGAACATAACTCCAGCAAGATAAGTCCCCCTTAATAGATGGTTATTTTTGGACAGAAGGTAAGATTCATTAAAAAAAAAAATTCGAAGATTTTATTTTAATATACAACAGCACGTATCATTATATCGTTTTCTGAATATTTATAAATGATATCCCTTAATACCAGGTTTACCTTCAAGAAAATAAATATTATCATAGTAATAGTGTAATTAATAATGCTAGGTAATATAATATATAAGAATACACATAGATTGTAAACACGCCAAGTGGAATTTTTGTGCAGAAATTGTGTTAATGAAAGCCCAGTATAATTAAATGAAAAATTGCCATGGTTTAAGCTAAAAACAAGTAGGTAGTTTTACTTTTCATGATAAAAAGAAAATTATTTATTTTGTTGTTTTTAAATGTTGTAAAATTTATTATTTGTTATCAAGTTATTCTTAATTATACATCAAATATAATCTTTTCTATACCGACTTCTTTCCCCACCCCTTCAAAATTCAACGTATATAAACATAAAACAGCAAAATCTCACTGGCACTCTCAACACGACACGCAAGAATGGCACAATTACAGAGAAGACAAACACTTTGAGTGAGTAGAAATACTTTGATTGAATATAAAAAATATATTTTGAATTGTATAAATTCACTTTTTTCCACATCCTACATGTATTTGTTAAATGTAAACAATGTTTGTAAATCCCAGGAAGATGATCTCAATAAAGATCGAAACGTTGGCACGATAAAGAAAATGTTTTTGTGAAACCTACATCACACCAGACCGCATCTCACGATTTCTGAATAAATATTATACATAAACTCAAATAATTAATTTAGTTTACAATTGGAATAAAATGGGAAGTCAAAATGAGAAGTTTGTGGCATGGGCGATCGAAGTGGTAGCTCAAGTGGTTGGATCAGCGGCGTATTGAGCCGAAGGTCATGGGTTCGAATCACACCTGAGGCACAAATTTTTCATTTCGAAAAAATAGTGTATAATTAATTTCTTAATTGTAATGTTTATCAACCTTTTACTTTATAAGTTTTAATTAGTGGGATCGGGGAGGTGGATAATGTGGGTGAATGAATATTAAACATTGACACTATGCCAAGCTTCGGTGTTTATTTCGCCTTCCTCAGTGCGAGACAACCAAAATTATTATTGCTAAATGTTAATTAATATTTGGTTATTTAGGTATGGAAATAAAGATCTTAAATTATTTAAGATACATAATACATTTCTTACTAATTTAACATTGGTTTACATAGATATAATCAGCGTATATCACACCCACAAGAAAAGTGACACAAGTCGAAAAATTATAAAAACCGGATGATTTAGTTTTTGTGAAGCATTCGGGTATGTGATGCTACAGGAGAAACGACTATAGGTGGACTCATCTGTTATGCAGCACCATGGGTCACTTTTGTATTGGCGGGAACTTACTTTCACCATTCACGAAAAATGACATATCTTAGTTCTGAGTCGAGCTTTAAAGCATCGGTGTGAGTATTTATCAGGAAAAGTGGGACATTTCGAGTTACGTCAGTTTTTTTCTTGTTTAGTGAAGAATTTTATGTTGTACCGGAATCACATTTTCACTTTATGAAAGTCAATTGTTAAACCAACTGAACAAATATGCTTTTCGTAACGTGAAATTAATATAAGCCCTGATGATGACCTTGAAATAGGTCGAAAGCCGTAACAACCTATTGGCAAGATTTTTTTTTAATAATGTCTTTTTATAGATCCAACGATTTTTTAAATATTTTAATTATAATATCTTTAATAATAAATAAAAACTTTATGTCATTAATTAATTTTGAATTTTAAATAATTAATTATCCCTGACTCCAGCAGGAAAGCATATTTGGATAACAATCTTACTAAAGCTTAATACATGGATATTTATGCTCGGTTATTAGGTTTGAATTTTGCCTGTTATTATCACAAAAAATTATTGCATTCGTTGACCACCCTTATCGTTAGAACAAGGAAACTAACTTAAATTACTGAGAGCCAATATATGCAAGAAAAGTGTCAAAACTAAAAAAGTGGTATTTTTTAGGGGTAATACTTCTGAATTTTTAAAGGTTTGTATTTTCACATAAGTGTTGGAGAATTGAAAGACAGTATTGATGGATCATGGCACTTTTTATTGCCAACAACCGTAATGGCGTGTACTTAATACATAAATCAAAGAAAGTAAACTACCATTTGTCTCTCTGTTAAATTTTCATTTGTTGTGTTGTGTCACTTTTCTTGTGATGTGTTATATTGTGATATTTCTTGTGTGTGCGATATATAAAAATGTACCCATTAGATAGTGATAATACGGAATTGTCATTTTTGGGAGAAATGAAAAATTCAAGTATATGAACATTTTTACTTAATATAATATTTGTAGTTGTAAATA